GAACGAAGGAACGAAGGGACAGAACGGAAAGAAAGAAATAAAATAAGAAAGAAAGAAATACATTACTTTTTTCTTCGAACATCCCCACCCTCTCTTGGTAGAGATACTCTGGGGTTGGGAAATACAGGGACACTCTGGGGCTGGGCACTCCAGGGAGACTCTGGGGTTGGGCACTCCAGAAAAAAATCTGGGGCTGGGCACTCCGGGCACACTCCAGGGAGACTCTGCACTCCGGGGACACTCTGGGGTTGGGCACTCCAGGGAGACCCCGAGGGACACTCGGTTAGGCAGACTCTGGGGTGGGGCACTCCATCAGAGTAGGCGCTCCAGGGACATTCTGGGTTTCTTCAGGGAGACTCTGGGGTTGGGCACTCCAGGGATAGGGACGAGCGAGGAGTAGACCGGGCGAGGAGAAGAGTTCCGGGGGAGGAGAAGAGTTGAGTTTAAAATCTAACAACCCCACACCGAGGGTGGGGAATCAAGAAGCAAAGCAAAATAAAGACAGAAATAAAGAAAACAATGGAAGGAAAGCAAGAAAGACAGAAAGAAAGAACGGAAGAGCGCGAGATAGACAGTCTGTTGAGATGTCTTGCCTGCGTATAGTGTTCCAAAACGCAAGACTGGGCTCTCTCTGCGCGACTCCAAACGCCTCAGCCTTCTCACGGCTTTTGTCTGAAACCTTAGCCACGAGTCCAACGAAGAGCAAAGATGTTGTGACATGCGCAAAGTCCGGCTAATGCTCGTGTTGTCCTCTCTTGAAGCACCAGCAAAGAGCCAGGGAACCACTCTGCGTAGCTTTTGGCCGAATCCGCTACAGCATCCCCGTCTGGAGATGCTGCAAAGCCTAGTGTGTCGAATTCATCGCCCTCGAACATGGCGGATCTCTCCTTAGTAATCGTTTGGGATGTTCCCCCTGATACTAACAGTCCTTCATGGGATTCTAATAGGAGGTACCTAGAATCCCTATTAAGGACTGTCAGTATAAGGGGGAACATCCCAAATCGTCATGGAAAAGGTACGAGGGTCTGAAGCAAGCTTGTTTTATGAGGAAAGAGCAGCAGCCAGAGCCCAATATGAGCCGAGGATCAAGGCCCTCCTCTTCGGAAAGGTCCTCGCTGTCTATAGGACGGGCTGGGCGCGGAGGAGGATGTCGCAGGGAAGGCGGCATGGCTCGATGGGCTAAAAATGTGACAACTCACGCTGCAGGCGACGCGGAGATTCAAGAGATTATTCAGAAGTCTTCAATACCAATGAAGGCCACAAAAACCAAGAAGGGGATGCCCTGCAGCGGAGTCAAGTCACCAAGTCATCGAAGCTTCTGAGACGGCATTTGCGTCTGAGGCATCCCAGAGCCGGAGCGTCTCATCAGCGCGAGCAAAGCGATTTGGCGACTGCTCTCAAAGCACGAGATTCAAAGCTTCCTAGCGTTCTTCGCCCTAACCCGGCCCATCCGCCAACCTCACTGCCTGATCAAGTCCACCCCAGAACGCGAACTGGCATGGCTTCTACACATGGAGGCTATGAGAAGCGAATGTAGGCTGTGTATATGCTGTATATCATTCACAATACACAGCGAATCCTGGGGGCATTCTTGCCGCCACGTCGCCGCAAGATCTTGGACTCGGGAAAGCTGCTCTCGCGACGCCGGGCGTCCTTCACCTGCTCAGAGCACACTTGGAGGTTCATTAGGGTAGTCATAAGTAAGGTTATAAGTATGGCAAATTATACTTATAACCCCACTTAGGGTACTTATGACCCTTACTTTCATTAGGGTAGTTATAAGTATGGCAAATCTGCTTATGAACCCCACTTAGGGTACTTCTGCCCCTACTTAGAAGTACCATGAAGTACCCATGAACCTCCAGGCACAGCACCCGAACGGTGCACACCATGCCTGCTAGCCGGCGTCACTCTCTTGTTCAGGCTTTCCGGGGAGAGCCTTTGCCTTTTTTATCTGCTGTCTTGACTACAAGGACGGTGTACCATGTGACTTGCTTAAACTACAGTATAACTACAGTGTCGGTCCTAGTAGCAGAAGCAAGGCTTGGCTGTCCGGACCTGTCTGCGCAGGTCGCCGGCCCCTGCGTACTCCATCACCTCCAGCCCATGGCCGACCCAAATCACTTGGCCAAACTATGCCAAAACGGTCAAAAACGGCTGTTCTGCTGATTTCACGTTGCCCAGTCACCCCTTCCAGGCAACCCCCGGAAAATGGGCAGGCTATGGGCAGGTTAGAGTTCATTTGCCGCCGAGGATCTGCAGGAGGAGATCTCCATCCCCCCTTTCCAACCCCTCCGCACTTCAAGATTCTGACATGCATCCCTCCTTCTTTCCTGCAACAGCGGCGATTTTCGCCAGTAGCCACCCGGGACTGCACGCCAAGCGCAAAACACCATGTTGTGCAATGCTTGGCACTCACGGGTCCCAATAGCTTGGGGGGCATTCATGGTGTTTTGGTGCTGGTGCAGTGCGGGGAGTATCACAGCCCTAGGTCCCCCAAAGTGCCGAAACGATGCAGAGTCCCTGCAAGCACCGAGTGGCGATGACAAGCGCGTTGTCCTCTGTAAAAGACTCGTGAATCCGTACCTCAAGGGCTTCAACAGAAGAATGCCCTGGCACACTAATTTGTATAAGCTGTGCTGGCCCGGAATTTGAGCTAAGCTTCAATGTAGGGATGCTTCAACTTCTCCATGATTTCTGCCTCCGGTCTTTCCAACAGGCTGACTGAATGCTGACCCCCAATGCATCAGCTGCTGTGGGGCGTGATGTATATACACGCATGCGGCCACAGGCCTCACCTAGTAACCTAGTAGTACGTTTGCAACTACCTGATTCTGCACCATTCTGGCAGAGTTGGCACCTCCTTCGGAGCTTCACGCTTCCGGCGATCAGATGCACACCTTGGCGGGATGTCTGGGGGAGGCATTTGTGAAGGCCAGCCGGAGACAGCTCAACAACAGATGTCATGACATCTTGGGAGGATGCTCCAGGTCAATGATCTTCATGACCTGCCATGTTGCTCACGGAGTCTTAAATATAGCAGTGCCAGTAGCTGCCCCGTTGCCAGACTTTCGCAGTGGCAAGCATGTAGTTGGAAACATATCCCCCAAGGCCCATCTTTGAATCTCAAGACCCGAAACCCAGCCATCGTCCTGTACCTGCAGCCCTGCTTCAACTCCCAGCTGTGGGTTCATCCCAAAACCTTTCATGCCACTGAGCGGCTTTGTGCCGACCCCTTGCGTCACGAGCCAGAATTGCACACCTAAGGTCACATGAACATCTGGCACAAGATGTTTCTAATCTCTTGCGACAGGCGAGGGGCATTACATGCCCAACCCGCGGCGCCACGCGACTTTCTAAGTGAACAAGCCATCTTGCAATCCCTCAAACCATCTTCGATTGGCAGTCAATGATAGGTGCTCCCAAGAGAGCAACGAAGGCTTGAACACCCACCGTTTGAAGACATGCCAGGGCACCCAAAGCTCCCTCGACCGATGATCTCCAGGGCTTCATAGCCACGTGAGGCACCAACGGCCCTGTGGACCCAATTTCAGAGACACAATAGATTGATACCAGGCAAAGGGTACAAGCTCCCAGGAAGCTTCCGAACCACCTCGATTCTGCAATGCTGTGCCCTGCCTCGTCGGAGACTCGTCATGGCTGTGGCGTGGCATGGACTTGCAATGTGGGCGAGGAATGTACGGGCAACTGCTGGTCAGATGAGCGGCTGACACAGCCCTGTGTTCGTTGAGCGTTGCGCAACATGCTGGTGAGCGTGTCAGCTTTCGAGGATGAGCACCCCTCAGACAGACCAACAGGAGCCTGACAGTAGCACTATGTAGCGCTTTTAAGGTGGGCCCCTAGGAAAGTATATACTACCACCCAGAAAGCATGCAACATCACAACATGGGCTCTACACACCTTTTGTCCTACTCCAATATGTTCAAGTGCATGGAGAACGGCCATCGAATCACAGAAGGTGGTGTCCATCGCATCGATTGTAAAATTCAACCTGCCTCATGATACAGAGAAGCCTGCAGATCCTGCAGCAACGACAGTCACCCTTGTGAGACCGTGTGCCTGATGACCTCCAGATGACCTGCTCTCCTGACCCGCTCGCATGGCACACGGAGCACGCGGAGAAGAGAGGCTCCTGCATCAAGCCACGCCCAGCCTTCCTTGGCTTGGCTTCAACCAGCAGATGGGCAGCCCAGGCGTAGACGTTGATAGAGTTTGACAGCTATTTTGGCCCTTCAGGTTGCGGATCACAAGTTTAGCAGATTTTCAAAATTGAGGATTGCTGAGCCTCCTGCGCAGTTTCTCGCTGCCGGTCGGTAGCAGCCGGCGCAGTCTGTGTCTGCAAGCCGCTTAGAGAGCAAGAAACTCGGCTCCTCCAGCATGACTCGTGGGATAAGACGCCGCCAAGCACACACACACACACACACACACACCACACTGGCAACAGCCCCGCACACGATTGGGAGTGGCATGTCTTCCGGGAGAAATGTGACCCATGACCCGAGTATGAAATTGTTCACAAGCACACCTTCTGCATTGCGTGTCTGCACGTCTGGGGGGCCAGTTTGCTTCCTGAGTTTCAGCTGTGGCCACTTGCCCGATGGGCCGCGAGCTCGGAAGACCCCCGCAATCTGAGAACGGCCCCTACAGAAGCCCAAGCTTTCTTCAGCCAGTTCCGCCTGTATGTCTTTGATCCTCTCGGCCTTCTTCCTCGGGGCAGCGAGCAAGAACGAACCCCGAATTGGACAAGCGCTGTCAGCTGCAATAGCTGCAAGAATACAGAAAGAGTCTAAACATAACAATCACAATTCTAACAACAATTGTTCAATAATATGATTCTCATCAGAATTCTCAAACGCATACATAATCATCAGAATCTGATTAGTAATAACAAAACCCGAGCTTCGCCCCTAAGCTCTGGGCACTTGGAGCTGCTCCCGGCGTTGCTCCATCCGCTCCAGGAGACCCTGGCGAGCAGCAAGCGACAACTACTAGAGTAGGATTGTAGGATAATTAGTGATCATATAGTGAGATAGTGATATCATAATAATACTAGAGTAGTCTTGTAGTGTAATTAGAGATCATATAATGGTATAGTGATATCATAATATCAGGATATGACAATGTCATGATGTATTCGTAGCAGAAAATGACACTGTAAGAATACAATATTAACTTTTTAAGACATTAATATATACTGATATAAGTTCTTCATATAATGGATACTATCATCTTCTGATACTATGATAATATGCTATTTGATTTAACCAATAACATGACAATATGGCGGTACAAACAAAAGAAAGCAAACAACAAGTAATACTAATGACATCAACAACTAATGGAGAAAAAGAGAATGGCAGTGGCAAGTCACCCGAAATCCCTGCAAAGCTGCTGAATGCATCTGAAGGATTCCGAAGGTACGGGCGCGAGATTTCCCCAAGCCGTCCAAAAGCCCTGCACTCGAGCCTTCGGAGGTTGCGGCCTCGACAGCAAATAGGCAGCACACGTGACACACACCAGTAATTACTCCACACACACACACACCAGTCACTCGATGCCATTGGCCCAGCCTCTAGATTACCATGATGCCACCACTCATTTACTAGCGACACAGATCCCGAGGCCAGGGCGCTGAACCTTTGGGCCTGGTTAGGCGCTTACGCTTCGATGCAGAACGCGTCGTCCGAACGCAGGACTGCGCTGTCGTACGTAGGATGTCTGACACGGGGTAGCTGGTTCCACATGAATTTTGCACACCGAGTTTGTCGCCCATCGTGGAATGGGATTGTCATTGCTCCGTTCCTGCAAGAAGAGCGACTGGGACTGAGGCAAGCAACGCAGCGAAGAGATGTTGGAGACACTTGATCCAGTACAGGCTTGTCTGCGGAGTCTACGGAGTCTAGGGCAGCCTGTCAGCGAGAGTCAAGTGAGGTACGACAGGCCGCCTTTGCAGCTCTTTCTTCTGGTCTTTCTCCACCCTCAGGCGGCCAACAAGGCGGAGGATCGCAGTGCAGACGTTGAAAGATGTTTTGATTGTCGTTCTGAGTGCTGGGCCTAGCTTTGCGAGCGGAATCGGGCCTGCGCTTGGTCTCTGGTAGCATGCATACCCAGCCTCGGAGAGTCGCAGGTGATCCCACAGTCGCGGCCAGGCGACGTCGTGGGTCGCCCAGCCGGCGGCGTGGTGGAGCGAAGGCGGGCACGAGACCTTCGACTCTTGCGCATGTAATCATGTACTTTGTGTTCTTGGGTCGCTATCCGGTAAAGGCTTCATCCTGATCTGACCCTTCTGCCAGCCTATGGCCTATGCCAGCCTCCACTTACAATTGCCGTGTGCAGAACCTGGCAAGACTGCACGCTTATGCTGAGCTGGAGACTCGCGAGAAGGTTGGGGCCTGGATGCGACTGGGGTATGTTGGCTTGCATGAGTGGAGCGGCAAGAGTCATAGCAAGTAGGCTGAGCTGGGGGCACGAGTATTTCAATGGGCGGCATCTGTGGCCATGTCACTGACCGGTCATTGTCGTTTCCTGGATTGGTCAGACCGCTGAGTGCCTACACTGCCCTCCGTGCAGGTAGCATCACCTCGCGTCATGCGGTTCAAAGGCCGCCTTGCGAGCCCCGGGAACTGCTGCCGCGGCTGGGCCTGCAATCCAGCTAGCTGTAGTTTTGCCAGTGCGGCCTGTGCACATGCTTTGGAATTGAGACAGTTGAGGGTCGGCGCGATCTTTTCGCTTCCTGCATCTCGGGGGCTCCTCTCTTATCTGCCTGGACCTGGGGGGTTGATCTCAGTTTGCGGGGCCCTCTTGGGGGTCCTTTTTGTCCCAGTGGTCTTACAAGAAGTGACCCATGGAACCCAAGTCTACAGCCAGTTCAGGCTTCTCAAAGCCGCCACAGAGCCAAGAAGTGCAGCTGTGATGAGAAGAAGCGGCCATCGGGAGCGGCTCTGTGTCTTGGGCGGCTCCGACGCAGGACGCAGGTTGGGAAATTCAAGGGCACGGAGCACCCGCCAGTGATTGTACAAGTCACGACCATTGTCAGGAGCCTTGCCTTCCCAAGGAAGAGCTTTCCACCCCACGTCAGCCACGTCAGCATTCCCTGTCTCTCCGTTTTCAACCACTGCCATGACACCCGTCACTCGCCGTGTCAGATAGAAGCTGCGCTTAGCCACAATTGTCCAAGAGCCGACTGCCTGATCCCGAACATCCCGGAGGGCGACCTCAAGTTTGTGGATCACCTTCCCACTTGCACCGACAAAGACCAATTTCCCAGCTGGATGCAGAACGCGAAGGATCTCTTTGAACATGGCGCGGTAAAACACCTCTGGGTCCCCACGAATCCGAAACTGCCGATTCCATGGGGGTGCAACCAGAACCTTGTTGACGGATCCGTCCGGGAATGGTATGCCTTGTGGCCTGGTGACATCTGTCCGGTACAATGAAATCTTTCTCTGGAGCCAGTCAAAGTTACAGCGGCAGCAGTCCAGCTGGCGCTTGTCTACCTTAACTTCATGAATATGCTGACATGGATCTCAGAAAGACACATGCTCGACTCGGGCAGCATTAAAGCTTCTTTTGTGCTCATGGCTGCTGGAAAGTCTGAACATGTCAAAACCAAGCGGCATCGCATCCCACGAAGCTGGCGTTGGGCCACCAAACTGCAGCCTCTGCCAGCAGAGTGCCTGGCACTAGTAAGTGGCACGAAAAGTTATCACTCATACCGAAGTTGCTACTTTGGACCCATGGCCTTTCCCGCACATCGGGTCCAGGACGAGATCTTGACTTTGGATCTCCAAACTCCTGGCAGACTTCTTAAGGCATGCCAGTGCCTGAAGCGATCAGCGAAACTGACAGGTCAGTGCACAACTCTTCACATTGGCGTCCTGGCACAAGCCCAGGCCTCCACGTGTCCAAGCCCTCAGGACAAATCACACGTGAGTTGTTTAGGGACTGGATTGGCTGCTGCTTCCCTACCCATCAGGTCCAGTTAAGATTATAGGCAGGTTTAGCGATCCTACGCGATCATACGCTGGCATACTCTGAGTCTCTCTCTTATGGCACCAACTTGCGTCAAGCTCCAACAGCTCTCCGAACATTCGAACATTCGGAAACGGGCGAAAGTGGCTCGTGGGCCCCAACCAACCCCGAGCTGGAGGTCGAGATAGGGCGAGTAAAAGCTTTCCAGGCCCAGCAGGGGAGGACGTCAGAAAACCTCCAAGATCTTCTTGAAAGGCCCCTTTTTGCGAATGAGAAGATGCTGCTTAGTGACCCTGGCTTTGAAGGCGTGTCGAAGAGGATGAATCGGTGCCATTTGGGTTGGCAATCAGGTGCAGCTGTTCGGCTAACCACTTAATCACCACAGACGTGTTTCCTAGCTTCAGATGGCTGGGCACTGGCTCCTCGCCATGGTTTGGCAGAATCAGACGGAGATTACATCATTCAGACCCGCCAGAGATCGGCAAGATGAAGCAAAGAGCGCGCGCCTGGTTGAGGCAATCCACCACCTAAGATTGCCTTCGGCTGGTAAAGTAGCGGAACCTCCAGGGCCCCACAAACCACAACGTCACAACACGTGCACGAGCTGCAGGAGAAGGCCCCAAACCGAGACACACACCCTAGCAATACACTTTCCGGGCATGCAGCAAGCCCTCGAAGCCAGACATGTCATGAAAGCCAACCCCAAATCAGGCATTTAGTGCTCTTTGAACCCGAGAAAAAGCACGTGGACTCTCGAGATAGCTTGCAGACCTGTGCACTGTAAATCCTAAGCGTGGGGGAACCCGAAGCTCGAACCCGACTCACAATCGACCTGGCTGACTCCAGTGGATACAGCCCGCCTTTTTCCCTGCTGTCCCCCAACCCTCAAACCACAGGTTTCTGATACAACCCTGTCGAGTTCTTCCTTACTTGGTCGGGGCTTTGGTTGCTCTGAGCAAGTTTCGGTTTCCGTTTCCTGTCGCAACGTTCGCAGTACTCCAGTCAGGATGCGTGAAAGCTGTATCAGCTGCCGCGCCTCCACCTGCAGCGTGCCTCGACTTGCACGCAGATGGACGGTGATGTCCGCCTTGCCTGAGGCCCAAGAGCTGTATGTGTTATTCCAGTCGCCTGATCCGTACCAAAAAGCCAAAACTCCATTGACTAAATAACACAGAGCATGCGATACCTCACTGGCAGTGCGCCTTCTAAGTCCATGAATTCTCTACGCCAAAGTCTGAAGCATCCTTGGCCAGGGAGCTCCCTTTTGCTGCCCTTCTCCATCTGAATCGTTTTACAAGGAGCTTCTGCAGCTCCTTATTGGAGCAGGTGACATTGGCAGCAGCTCAGCCGGTAAGAGTGTTTTTTTTTTTGTTGCGGGTGCTTTTTTGCTGTGGGTGCGGGGGCGCGTTTTTTTTTTTTGCTGCGGGTGCGGGGGCGCGTATTTTTTTTTTGCTGCGGGTGCGCTGCGGGGGGCGCGTTTTTTTTTTGTTGCGGGTGCCGTGGGGTCGCGTTTTTTTTTTTTTGCTGCGGGTGCGGAGCGTTTTTGCTGTTTTCTCTATATTTTACTATGAAAACCTCTATTTTCTCTAATTTTCAATAGGAAAACCTCTTTCTTCTCTATATTTGAATAGGAAAACCTCTTTCTTCTCTATATTTGAATATGAAAACCTCTGTTTTCTCTACATTTAGTATGAAAACCTCTACTTTAATTCGAAAACCTCTATTTCTCTATATTTTATAGCGAAAACCTCTATTTCTCTCTATTTTTGTCTATATCGTCATAGTTTTCCTCTATATTTAATGAGGAAGACATGAGAGAGGAATACATGAGAAACTTATTGTCTGTGTTATCTCAATGTGTGACTTGCAATTAAAAGTGTTTTGTTCCTCTTGTCCTATTTTAATAGGAAGCCCATTATTTTCTCTGTCTCTGAATAGGCAAACCTCCATTGTCTTAACATTTGAACATGAAGACCTCTATTCTCTATATTTGAATATCAAGACCTCTACTTTTTGATATGAAAACACTTTGTATGTTCGCTATATTTTCGTATGAAAGCCTCTATTTCCTCTATGTTGTCATAGGAAACATCTAATTTCTCTATATTGTATAGCGAAAACCTCTATTGTTCTATAGTTTTTTTTATTTTGTCAGTATTTTCAGACATCTTCTCTTTATTTCACGAGGAAGACATGAGAGGAATACATGAAAAGCTAATTCTCTATATTGTCATAAGAGTACATGCATTATCTCTATCTGTGACTCGTAGACAACAAGTGTTTTTGTTCATGTCTCATAACACAAGCTCTATTTTCTCGATTCTTTACTAAGAAGACGTTTATATCTCTATTTTTAAACGGAAAATTCAACTTCCACTATAAGGTCTGAATTTTCGTAGGAAAGCAGGCATATATTCCCTCTTTTTTCAGGGGGTTGGAGGCTGCGCAGACCGCCGCATTTGAAAACACAATGCGCGCATCATGGGTTTGGAAGGGATTCGTAAGCTTTGAAGCAGGCTTGCCGGCCAAAAAAAGCGGGGGGGTTGGGGGGGGGCGCAGCCCCCCCCCCATTTGCAACACAATGCTCGCATCATCATGGGTTTGGAAGGGATTCGTATGATTGAAGCAAGCTTGCCCGGCTAAAAAGCGCAGCCCCCCCCCACCCCCCATTTGCAACACAATGCTCGCATCATCATGGGTTTGGAAGGGATTCGTATGATTGAAGCAAGCTTGCCCGGCTAAAAAGCGCAGCCCCCCCCCCCCGCCCCTTTCAAGCGGAGGGGAATGCTCTCATGATGGTTTCGGAAAGGATTCATTTGCTTTGAAGCAAGCTGGCATGGCTTTAAGAAGCGGGGGGGTTGGGGGGGGCGCAGCCCCCCCCAATTTGCAAACCCCATGCTGGCATGATAGGCTTGGACAGGATTCATATGCTGAGAAGCTAGCTGGCACGGTTTTAAAGAGGGGGGGGGGTCGGGCGGGGTGCAGCCCTCCCTCCACCGTTAGCAAACACAATGCTCGCATGATGGCCTTGGGAAGGATTCAGTGCTTTGAAAACGCTTGCACAGTTTAAAGGAGGGGGGGGGCGTTGGGGACGGGGTTGGGGAGGAAATTGCAAAAACAAATGACCTGGGGGAAGGGGGGGGGGGGGGGGGGGGGTTTTTTTTTTTGCTGCGGGTTTTTTTTTTTGCTGCGGGTGCGGGGGCGCGTTTTTTTTTTTTGCTGCGGGTGCGGGGGCGACATGCGCGAGGTCACTCACTCACCTGGGGGGTGGGGAGGAAGGGGGGGGGGGGGGGGGCGTTTTTTTTTTTGCTGGGTGCGGGGGCGCGTTTTTTTTTTGTTGCTGCGGGTGCGGGGGGCGTTTTTTTTTTGCTGCGGGTGCGGGGGCGACACGCGCCAGGTCACTCACTCACTGGGGGGTGGGGAGGAAGCGGGGGGGAGGGGGGGGGGGGGGGTGCGTTTTTTTTTTTGCTGCGGGTGCGGGGGGCCTTTTTTTTTTGCTGCGGGTGCGGGGGCGACACGCGCCAGGTCACTCACTCACCGGGGCGGCCCCCGAAAAAAGCACCCACAGCAAAAAAGCACCCACAACAAAAAAAAAAACACGGGTTCCCAGCTCAGCCATGCACATAGTATCGACTGCGTAAATCCGTCAACAAATCGGCAAGCATACCTGCCTCCATGGCTAAAACTATGTAAAGAATCCAACGTGGAGCCGAAGTGGTTGCTGGTTTGGGACATGCAGCGCCAATCCAAACATCCCACGCTAAGCCCCTTGTTTTAGTTTTGAAGGCAGCCAGGCAGACTGCTTTAGGATTTATAACCGAGGAGGTTTATATTGATTTTAGTATTTCTTGGGGAGCAGGTGCGCGCTTCACACCATCGCCACACCCCTTTTCATAGGCCATAGGCTCTCAATCAAGGCTCCCACTCGATTCCGGGAGGCAAGGATCTTCGCGCAACGACACGGCAGGTGGATGGGATGCCGTAAGGGAACGACGCACAGACATCCTGGTGCAATGGGTGACAACGGGACTGTGTGGTTCTGCATCTCCGAGCCCTAAACTTCCCTAAGCCTTAAACTTCCCTGAAGCCAGTCTTTGCGGACCTCTGAAAGGCAAGGGGTTCAAAGCTGCCGCAATAAAGTCAAACCTAGAATGGGAGTACTTCCTTCGTGTCTTTCATGGTGATGCCCATCCTCCAATGTGGCGTTCCAGTCTGCATTCTCGTCTACGAACTGAGCCAGCTCATGGGCGGACAGCGGATCTTTGGCCTGGCGGGAAAGACGTTCGTTGGCAAGCTCTACCTGCAAGACACTGTGAGCTGATGATGGAAGAGAACAATTTATGATGCAGCTGATGCAGTATAGATATATGGGGGGCTACGAAAATAAGGGACCTCTAACATTGTAACATGGACCGCAAAATAGTAGGATCCCCTGAAAATGAGGACCTCAATAAGGCTTTTGGGTCACAAGAGTCTGACCTGAAGCCGTCTCACTTTGCCTTCGCATGCTGGGAAGCCATGTTCGGTCAAGTCACTGTCGAGAGGCCGGCGCTCAAGGCAATCGACCGAAGGTTGACAATGTGCCGTATCACCTCATACGCATCATTGCGATTGTCTGGCTGGTTCTTAGTAGGGAATGGGGGGATTAGGGCCCTATGAAATCCCTAATTAAGGCCATAATTCTCTTATTCCCTACTAAGAACCCGGGCGGCTGTTGCAGGTGCTGAACTTTCGCAGCGGAGCAGCCTTCACAGCACGCAAAGAGGGAAGCCCGGTGTTATGTGTCCAGTCCCTTCCTGTCTGGGGATACCGGTTCCGGATTCCATGTCGGGGATTTCCCCCATATTCCCTACATTCCCCCCCATTTCGGGGATTTCCCACCTATATCCCCCCCCCCCCCCAATTCTCCAAGGTTGCTGTCAAGGCGGTGGCATCGGCAACCGGAGGCCTCGCCTCGGCAAGACGTGGTATGACGTAGTTGAGCCCTGAAATCTTCTCCCCCCCCTCCCCATCCCTTCCCCCCCCTCCCCCCCCAAAAAAACTGTTTAACAAACAAAAGCCTTGTGGACCTCTGTCCCCCGAGAGGCATCAAAGTACCACTGGCCCTGAGAGAAGTGAATGTTGGAGCAGCCCAGAGCCTGGAGCCTCAGCGCAGAGTCAGCGCAGGTCATTGCTAAGGAACTATATACTTCCCTTACAACCTTAATATATATATATATATATATATATACATATATATATATATACGTGCATATATATATATATATATATACATATTTTGATATCCTCTTGGGTTTGTTTTAAACACGGACCTCTGAAGCCTGTCCGGAGTCCCCTCAAACCCACAACCCACTGAGGCCCGCACCATCTTGGGTTTTAGATAAACAAAAAATGAAAAAAACCTAGGGGGATATATTGAAGGTTTTAGGCCTCCTAGCTGATGATAACATCGCATTGCAGGGAAATTGACGGCTACTATCAACACGTTGAAAAACCACTTCGCCTCATTCCAGGTTTACTGGTTTCCCGCCTACCAGGTCATACCCGAGACGGGGAAAACACAAGGCAAGGCATGCAAACCACATCCACCCCCAAAACATACATTCTTACAAGGCATACAACCAGGTAAGCTATAGATTTGGGCAAGGTGAAACTCTGAAGAAATGTGAAAGGCTTCAAAGACAGCACGTTACTGTCACTATGCCAGATCAACAAAGGGAGTCAACCAGGTTTCAGCACATCTTCCATAGGCCAATCGCGAAGCGGAGGTATCCAGCAGACTATTTCACCAGCCACACACTACATAACCCAACACAGATCCACCCCTTCTCCACTTCTAGGTCACTTTGGACAGGCATAGGAAGGCGAAAAGCATGTTCGGACTGTTCTGTCAGTGCCCAGCAACCGCTACCACCAACTTACAGCCGGTTTAGTGTTTAGGGCTTAGGATTTAGGGTTTAGGAAACCCTTTGAAGCTTGAATAAGCCAAGCTGTATCGTGCTCTGCTGCCTGCAGATGGCCGCGGATGCCCGCAGCGGAGAGCCAAACCATGCGCTAAACCTAAATCAACCGAAACCCTGAACCCTAAACCCTCAACCCTAAACCAGGACGGGGACATCACTGCTGCCAAGGATCTCTGATCGCGCCAGGGCATTCAGCGAGTCTTTGTAGCGGTCAGAGATCGCGACGGCCAAGTACTGAGCATGAGGCTTCACGTGGAATCCCAAAGACTGCTCTCCTAGCAGGGCAAGATACAAGATGCAATTGGTCTAGGGAATGGGGTTAAGTTTAGGGTTAAGGGCTCTAAGGGCAAAAGCCTCAAAAACTCTACGCCAAGTCCTGTATGCGCCAGGAGAATGGCAAACCATCCCACCACGAGCAAAAACCTGCACCAGTAGTCAGAACCAGCTGTGATAGCTGTGCAGCTGTGCACAACTCCCCACACTTCTGACCTCCCACCTGCCCCTCGTCGGACAAGCAGCCACTCTGCTTGTGGCCATCCATCCCCATTTGGAACTCCGATGAGTCGAATTACGGAGATTCCGCGTGTCACTGCTGTCTTTTGTTTTGTATGACGACTTGTGCCCCTGATGCCTGCCATTGGTGCGTATCCTGTTGCCCGCGACTGTTGGGGCAGATGTGAGGAATGATCTACGAATCTACGCTTTTCTGACATGCATTAATTTCATGTGAGTGTCGAGCTGTCGAGCAACCTCGCGCACCCCGCATGTTGAGCAACGCTGCACTTCTACATTCGATCCTAGACCTTGCTTCGCAAAAAGTGGACTGCAAGCCTCCGTTTCGAGGAGACATCGGTTGGGACCTCGATGATAGTGGTATGCGCATTGGCATATATGCGCTGCATCTGATACAACCCGAACTGAGATTGCCGCTGAGTTCGATGTTCGAAGTGGTTGGCTGCCCAGCCTTGCAATCCGAAAGACTGTGGTGCGAGAACAGCGGAACGGCATCCGAGCTCCGAGCACGGATATCTTAACCAAAGGACACAGGGGATCTTTCCAGTTTCCATGTTCAAAGAATGGCCTACGTTGTTCAGCTCGGCTTTAGCCGAGCTGACTAAGCAGATGTTTCCAAAATGTCTACAGAAAACGTCCGCAGGAGTGCGACTGGGCCACAAGAAGCTGGACTGATGGCACACCACCCGCTAAGCCTCAGCTACCTCTGCTACGAGTAGCACGTGCATGCACTTGAATTTCTCGGACATACTATCTCTATATGTATATATATATATACGTATTCTATATATATATATATTCTACATATATATACATACTCCATAAAATATGTTCTGAGAACTAGGTGGCGTCATCATCGGCCCAGCATGCCTCCCTTCTGGAAAATCTCTTGGCTCCAGCATTTCGCACGTGCTCAAGCAAACAGGGCTGCACTCTGTGTCGAACGGAGGAGCCCTCAACGACAAAGCGATCCTAGACGGCGTGACGCCTCTGGCTGAACCTCACGTAACAGCCACGGCACATCAAGACTCGGGCCTTTTGTTGAACCCTGAAGGAGATCACAAATCCGGGAGTAAGCCTCTGAGAGATCGCCTGTACAAGCATACTCAGCGCCATTGATGAGCCCTCTCTTGATGTCTTCGCTCACGTCTTCTCTATAGAACTTCAGAATTTACGTGCTGTGCTGCAACGCGCAACTGGCTTGGCCTTCTGCAATGTCTTGCACTGACCAGTTCCGCGCACAGTGGGATCATGCTCCCCAAGGGCCTAGCACTTGTGAGACTGTGCAGATGCTAGCGATGCTCGTGCCCGTCGGCATCTGCCATGAACTGGGTCGCTGTGCTCCTACTGTAGCAAGCTAGCCTGTTGAAGGAGAAGACATGGGCACTAGTCAGGTTTCAAGAGATGTACTTATATTCTTAACAAGTTTTGGACCCAGTGCTGAGCGCAGCTCATTTCGAGAAGCGCGCGGAAAAACCCTTGATTCTATAGTCGGGCAGGAACCCAGCGTCATATGAGTACCGTGTGGATCGATGCAGTACCTGCACATACCCGCACCTTGTCTAGGATCCGACATCAGGCGTTCTTAAGACTTGCTGGCTTCAAATACCAAATTCCGGCACTGGGTGTCAACTCCCGCTTGCGGCCTGAGCTGGAGCTGGATCAATGCAACCTCTGCGCAAGAGACACACTTGTATTGTGTTTGTGCCAGAAAGGCCGCCCCAGGCCACAGCCTCAACTTGTATGTCTGGTGCCTTCTCGTTGAGCCCTCGTGAGGTCTAACACCCAGCATGTCAATGGTGAAACGCCCGCGATCCTGAGAAAGCTTTAGCCTGAGGGTGCAGGGAGTCTCCGTTTGAGGCTTCAGATGTGCAAAATGTCAGCTTCTGCACCCCGAGGGCGACTTCAGTTTAAGCTGAGGGTTAAAAATTTTTGGGCAGAACAGGGCAGCCAGGCGACGGGCCAGCTCATGCCATGTCATTACGTTACCCGTGTCATTTCGCAAAGTCATGACCTGGTAAGGGTGAGCCCCGGTTGGGCTTGCGTAGGATTAGTGGGCTTGCTGGCCACTAGCGGCACTAGCGGCCATGTTATCTCCTGTGGCAGGTTCTATGCCTGCAACCACACACCAGTCCTCACGTGAACAACTTCACTTCGGGTGCGCGATCTCACCACCTCAAGAAGAAGGGGACTGCGGAGGTCGTGGATGTATCGGACTCAGGCCCAGCCAAACGCGTGACGACAAGTAAAAGTACCTACAAACCCTTGCAGCCTCTGCTGGGCAGCCAAGCCACCGACGTCTGCACCTCATTGTTGCACCTTCCCTTGGGGATGACTGAACTTGGAGAGTCCTTACAAGCAATGCGGGCCCACGAATGTTCAGCAGCCCACATGCCTCCCAAAGGTCATCGGGACGAAATCTGGCGGAAGTATGGCTACGAGTGCTTACCAAAAAGCTTGTGCCGGGCGTCGAATGCGACCCACTTTCAGCATGCGTCCACCTGGGTCACCGTGCTCTGCAAAACTACGGTGCAGCATCTCGTTGCGTGGAGACGTGCTGCAGGCAAGTCGCAGGCAGCAGCTCAGAGTGCCGATCGTGCAAGGGCGTTCGTGGGCTCTCATCTTCATCTTCGTCTTCACTTCCCATTAAAATCCTCAGTAGACGGGACGCATGTCTTGTGATCAACGCTTCTATTACAACCAGTCCTACTACTACGACGACAACTACGACCCCGACTCAGACTACTCAGAAACTCACACTACTCTCTCACACAGACACACTACTCACACTGCTCACACAAACTCAGCTGAATCAAACTCACACTCCTCAGACCCCTCATGCTACTCATACGACTCATACGGCTCATCATGTCAATAAGGTCCTGCATGGAGCCCTGGAGTCCTGCACAACAACCTGCGCATTTCCTACCATCTTTCATCCGCACATGAGATGGTTGCGGGCTTCGGGGGGGGGGGGGAGGGGGTGGGCATCCCAGGGACCATGCCCAGGAGACCGGGCGGGAATGGCAGAATTTTAGTTCACGAACTTCGGGTCCGTAAATTGCTGGCAAGGTGAGGAAGTACACCTGATCCTCTTGCAACAAATGAATCTCGACCAGGGGACTCCTACCCCCACCTCCCTCCAGCTGCCCTGTTTGGTGGGGAGTCAGGACACCGAGTCAAAGCAAAGCAAGATTCCCAAGAACACGCATCAACCAGCCAAGCGTCTCCCTCAGCAGCGCTTCTTGCTCGTCGATCTCCTCACAGCATCTCATCGCATCACTCTCACTTCTGCACGCTGGCGATTCTCCTACTACTAGTTACTAGCCCCTTCGACTGCAAATCGGATTGGAAAGGCCTCGACGTCGATGCCAAGCGCCCAAACCTCGTGATCCAGCAGCAGCTCCTGGCAGGCTGTCATGATGTGCTATGTCCAGTGGTGGCTCTTAGTGACGACAGGGCCCCAATAACTCATGACGCACATCCTCATCGACTATAAGGAATTAAGTGTGACTGTGACATGACTCAGGTTTGCCTCATCCTGGTGCTGCTCCACTTCTACGATGTCCTCGGGAGGGTGTCGATGTGTATGCGTGGCTCCCTTGTCGCAATCTTGCATGCTGTGGCACCACTGCCTATACCCCTGCCAGTAGCCGACCAAAGGTTGTCCCCGTCCCACCAAGTGCACATGGTCCGAGGCACTGCCTTCTGGCTGAAGGAGACGGACTTGCGGACGCTTCGCCTGCGCCCGTCATCGTTTTGGATGCCGGCACCGTTGAAGACGAGTCCTGTCTCCTGCAGCACGAAGCCGCGTCAACTGTACACGCATTTTGAGAGGTTTTTTTTTGGTGCTTGGCTTCGCGGGAAAGTGAGGGAAGCTGACAGTATCTGAGAGTGACTGACTGCCTGCCGTGTTGGCAGGATGGGCATGCACAGCACCCATTCCACACAAACTGAACAGACTGCAGGGCTGTGCCCTGCGTTGCTGAACACAGCTTCTTCTGTTCCTCCAGGATGCCATCCATGAGGGACTCTTCTTCTCCTGCCCCATGCTCTGCAATGGCAAACTTTTAAATACTCTCATGGCCTTAAGATAATCGCCCGGCAGCCCCACTCCGGATGACAAGGCCTGCGCCTGTAACAGCACCTGGGAGAGCTGGCAGCGCGGAGCAAACTTGGAGGCCTCAGGGGGTCATGAACGTCTGAAAAACACTTCCCAACAACGGCGGCTAAGAGATGAGACTGAAATCTGAAAGAGTTAGCTTCATGCAGGTCCAGGGGACAATCATCCAAGTCTGGCCGGACATCACCTGACGATCTGATGCAACGTCGCGGGCAACAAGTCTCCCTCTCCTAGTTTGGGCAGAGGCCTCCTTCGCTGTCCTCCTCGGATGCGCAAGAGGTCCCCTCCTGGCAAGCTGGAGGGTTGCAGGCAGCTGCATCCCCTTTCTGTGCTCAAGCCCTGCGTAGCTCAAATGGGCCAAATCCCGCGCATCCTCGTCAATCTCTCGGAACTTCTGTCGCAGCAGCGTCTGCTTCGCCGGACGGAGACCTGCAACCAAATGGTCGGCGACCTTCGGTCCCCGAAGTCCTTAGGAATTGACAGTGATTGAGGGATTCTCACGGCCGAGGCAAGTGCGGAGGTTTCTACTGCAGAACATGGTGACAACCAACACCACTTTGAGATCTGTCTTCAACCTCCACAACCTACTCCAGACATCTGAGGAGCTGTAAACCGTGGCAGCCAGGGCCTCGGTGGCAAGAACAAGTACCCAGTGAGTCCACCTTCAAGATACCTCTGAACCCGGGCAGCACATGTCCTGTGAAGTGCCGACATGTCAACTCACTGCACATGGCAGCGAACGAACATGCCCAATAACAACAAGCCGAGGGTCTACTGCGCTGTTCCGCACGCGCGGCCCAAGGGATTCCTGACACTGCTCAGTCTCACACTCAATAAGTTCAATAAGTCAAGAAGGGAGAGACAGTGCGCAGGCCTCCATTCCAGCCGCAATGAAGCCATTGATGATGTCAATGTTCCAGGTATCTTGGTGCTGACCATGGAATGTCAGGTACCACATAGCACACAACAGGTTCAAGCCATTTGGAGCCAATGCCCTTTGCTGGCTGAATCCTGGCCAGCTGCGAGGGCTGTGCGGGCCATGTGAAGATGACTCCGAGTAGCTGCGGATGATCTCTGCGACCTGGCAGAGTTGACGCAACCCACATGGCCGGAGCGCACGATGAGCGCCATGCCCGTGTGCAGCTGAGCATGCAATGGCGCTGCGACAAGGTCACAAGGCAGTCGTTTCCAACACGGCCCCGTATTCGAAGGTTCGGCCAGGCACCGTGTCGAGGACACCGAACTGCACCTTGCTGCGCTCTCCTCCCTTGGGAGGGGCTGTTTCCTTGCGGAGAACAGGGTGGATCTTTCTTCAACTGCCTCAATGGTCGACCTAAGCAGTTACGATCAGCTACGAGTACGGGATGGAGAGCCTCACCTGCCTTCTCTCTGGCATTTTCTGGCCATGACTCCAGTCGCTGCTGTAGTCGACTGAGGACGCCTGCAGATCAAGTCGGGAGCACTTCTTTGGCTTCTTATACACATGCCCATTTGGGTTGTTGAAGGCATTCGGCCACTCAGCAGGCATTGCGAGAACTTTCCCAGCCTCCGATGCCCAGAAGCTGGCGCGATGCTGCAAAGACGAGGTCACGTCGGGCACCCTCCTTGGAGGTTTTCAGATGTAATACCAGAGTTCGAGGGACTTCCGGGATGACTGTGAGAACTATCCTCAAACCTTGGTCGAGTACTTTGCAGTGGGTCCTTGGAGCATGCTAAGGATTTTCTGTTGGGTACTCGGGGTTGCAAGTGTGCTTGTCACTGGCGTCTTGGTGGGGTTAGCTCAGTCATTGCCGAATGCGCTGCATGAGTGCAACTGTGCGAGCTCCGAGAAGCACTTTAGCGCGCGGGTGTCAACTCCGCATCACAACCGAGGTCCACTCGCACGCTCAAAACGGGGTTGATTGGGCATTCTCTCGGACGGACTCGGACAGTCGTCTCGAAGGACTACGGCGAGAGCCCTCCTTTCTCAGCCGTCAATTTGGTTCCCGCATGTTCCCGCCATCAAACATGCGTTTCAGCCGCTCTGCGCTTTCTTGTTCTACTCTCTGGCAACAAAGCCCAGATGAGCAACGCCAATTCAAGAGCTCGAAAACATGCCATGTTGAAAGTCTCCGGTGATGGCACAGTGCTCGGTGAGCGGATTGAAGAGGCGTGGTTTCACTAGGCGTGGCCCCACAGTCTCCGCAACTTTGATTATATTATCATGTCTATATTTTTACTCTGGAGAATAAAAACGGTCGCCCAACCGCATTTTGCTGGACACATACTTTTCTGACAGCATGGTTCGTGTGCAAACTTAGTCTTGGTTCGCTTAGGTTTGGACATAAGAAACGGAGAAAACAAAAGCCGCTCAGATGAAGTATTGTGTGTCATGTAGCAGCTTGGTTACAGCCCTGGCGCATGCAGCCGCACATTGGAATCGCCGAGGCGAAACATCACGTGCTCGATGAGAACCGACACTGCATCCTGAACCTGCATTTGCGGAACGACTGAGCCGGCGTGCATGCTCAAAAGGTCTTGCTCATGTCCCCAGAACAAGAGAAAGAGAATGACAACATTGCTGCCAGCACATTGTCGTTAAGTGACAGCAGTATGAATTCGTCAGCGGCCTGTGCCGATGAAATGCACACGTCAATGTTCTGGAACGTGTCCTTCGCAATAGATTGCGAGGTTGAAGGGGGAGTACTTTGCAAGGCGCTCTGACACTAGCTGCTCACTAGCTTGCAGGATGCTCCACACCCTGTCCCTGAAGAGCTCTAAGGCCGCCAAGCTGACCGGAATAACCTGGCATTGTCTCTGTCAGCGGCAAGCGTCTGCAAGTGCAAGTCTCCATCAGGAAAGGCCGACACCAAATCACGTAACACTTTGTTCTGCCCTATCTACATCCACTGTGCACAGGCCATGCGGGCCTTGTCCCTGAGCACAATGTTCAGCACCAGGCAGCTGACTCTCCAAGCAGCTGCTCGCTCGCCTGCATCGCTGATGCATTCTCTTCCACGTGTCATCACGTGTCGGTTCAACGTCGGTTCAACCATGTTCCACTATACTCAGCACAGTGGGTGCTTGCTGCTAAGTGACGGAACAAGCCATTCGTTACGGCACTGGTAGATCCTGGCAGAGCCACGCCTGCAAGTGTGCATGATTCCAAGACTTGCCACCAAAACTACCAAGGCTAAACGAGCAGCCGATGGACTCATTAACCTATGGCTCAAGGGCTTAGAGCCTGGCAGTGGGCACCGTCACCTGTGTTCGGGCTCCATCTGTAATCTCCATCTGCTGCTAAGAAACCTTCCAGGTCGCAGCCGTTTAGCACTGCTGAGATCCTTCGTTCGACCGGGGCACAAGAGAGCAACACGTGTTTAACGAGTTTGATGTGCCTGCTGTATCGACATGGCGCTTGCCTCTCTGTTGGGCGACTGGTGCACAGCAAGGTGCACTCACAGCTTAAAGCATCTGCTGCGAGGGGGAAAGGGGGGTGGGGGGTTGTGGGGGGACCACATGATTGACTTTTTGATAAAGGCAAGCCCTGGTCGGAGTCCCCTGAATAAGCGGGCAGTGCAGACTTCGTGCTCGCGATCCATTTGCCGGGAAGGAAGGCCGTCGGCTCTCAAGTGACGGTTGGCATGCATCTGTTCGCCACAAGGTATCTCAGAGCATCCGGACTCTGTGCCAAGGGGCGACTGCAGGCCTCGCAGCCTTTTGTCCCACTTTGTAGACTGAAGAGAGGATGCCGTCTCCTCCCCAAACCTTCGATTGCTCGCATTTGCTCGCTGCAGCCGTCGTGATGACAGAAAGAAAGTCTGTGCCAAGCCACTCCATGGCGACAGCGGCGTAGATCCTCGGCCAGGTGCTGTGTCATCTGTAATTACAGGCTTTATGTGGAGCTAGCAGCTTTCGGCACTTTGAATCTGCGGGGGAGAGAGGGAGAGAGCGAGACAGAGGGAGAGAGAAGGAGGGAGTAGCAGGGGAGGATGGAGAGAGGGAGAGGGAAAGATATAGAGGCAGAAAGAGAGCGGGGCGATGGCGAGGGCGAGGCAGAGCAAGCGAGCAAGAAAGAGAGAGAGGAAGCAAGTGCCCAAGAGATAGTGTCCGGTGAAGAAGCGCACGGGCATGTGGGGGAAACCCACTCGCTAAATCGAAGGCTGGTCGGCCGACGAAAACTTGAGAGCACGAAGGCATGAAAGCTGAGGCCCACCCCCCTAGGCGCCTCCGAAGCCCCAGCCCTGAGTTGCTAAGGGCGCGTGCCCCCCCCCCCCACCTCTGCCTTTTCTGCCCTGGGATTGACGCCCCTCTCGCCATCTTGTTGGTCCCAGCAGGCGCGAGGGCTAAGGCCTTGCCTTCGCCTTCCGCCCCTTTTGCTCCCTTTTCTCCCCCACCTCGCAGGAAATCTAGACCAGTGGCAAGGCAAGCTGAGGAGTTGGCTGGCTCTGCGGCTGCTTGAAGTCAATGGCATCCTTGAAGAAAGCAGGTGTCAGATTTTGGGTCCCTTCACTTGCGAACCCGCCTCGCACGGCCGCGGCGATTGCGGCGGCGCTACAGCAGTGGAGCGCAGCGAAGAGGCTCGCTCCTGGGAGGCAGTGTCTCTAGTCTTGTCACGTGATACGGAGCCATCCCCAGACAGGAGCCTCCTCTGCTGCTAGCGGGTCCGTCGTAACATCGTTGGAACCTGTGATGTAGGAGCATGTCCTTGGAGCAAGTCGAGTCTGTTGAGTGTTACGATTCCATTTCAACCGCCTCATTCTGCACATCACCTGGATGTCGAGCAACTTCTCGCGGCGCCTGCTTATTGGTCTGTTGCGCCTGCCCACCCCCTCTCTGCCGACATGTGCCGACGGAGAACACATTGATTGCTTGGGTTCGGTGGTCTGAGAACTTAAAGGCCCCGGAAGAACACCGGAAGAGTCACTTACTTACAGGGGTAGTGCAGTCATTTAAGGTTCGAAATATCTACCCGACGTGCACCAGCAGTTGCAGGTTGCAGCCGGGCTGCGATTCTGAGGGGCTCGACCCGGGCGTGGGTGTTCGAAGTTCTCGATGCATTGCCTCTGCTGCTCCAGGTGCGAAAAACTATCAGCTCATGATCTCCTTACAACTGTGCTAGATGCGGGCAGTCATGCTGTCATGCTGTCATGCTGTCCAGTCCAAGCAGCATCGTCCGAGCAGGCAGTACTGTTGCTCGTACTGCCCAGCTTTGACCTCACATCCGGAGTCAGCGGCTTCACCTTTCCATGGCACGGCAAGGCCAAACGGCTAATGCTGTCTGTCTCACCAGTCCCTCCCGGGCCCGCCCAACATCATCTCGCCCCACAGGTTCTCCGTCTCCTCGCTTACTTCCGCCGCTACTCTAGAGGTATGGGACTTCCTCCTTCCCGTCCAGCCCACCTCAGTCTCAACTGCAGGCCCTGAAGACCTGAACCCGTGGGCACCAGCCTCGTCGCGATCATTGCTCAGAGTCTCCTGGTCGAAAGGGACCACGGCAGAAGAAGTCTTCTTCCAAAAGCCAATCTGGCGCCTCGCATTTCTGCACACGCTCGGCAAGTCAGAGCACCAACAAAGAACGCAAAGACCGCCTATACGCACAGCCACGGGTAAAACCATCGACCGGTGATCTAGACTCTTGACAACTGCCAAAAGCGCGACATGAGCAAACTCCGATGGATGAACTATGGGGTTCTTGAGGGAGGGGGGTTCTTGAGGGGGGTATATAACCCAGGGTTCCCTAATACTCCCTTAAGAACCACCCTAAACCCTAAACCCTAAACCCTAAAATGAAGCCAGGAGGCAGGAAACCCATCTCCTGGTCCCAGACCCGTCTCTCTCTGGGAGTGCAAATCTTCCGAGCCGAGACAAGCCGCCACAGGTGTCATTGGCACTCAATGCATGCTTATGGAGGTTCCTAATTTTAGTTATAATTAAGTTGGTTCATAAGTACCCCGAACCCCCAAGTACAGTTGCATACATGATGCGTGTTGCACAGTGGCTCGGCATGCAGGGCAGAGGATATCTAAAGCTCGTCAGTCACGAGTTCGCCAAGGCCAGCACACTGCTCCGGCTCCGGCTGCACGCAGCGACGGAGCACGGGTGTCCCGCTTCGGCACCTTCTGGTGATAATAAGTATACTGACCCCGTTGCATGGGAGAAACTTGGCCCTAAGGCTAAATTTCCGGGCCTATCCGGGCTCGTGACCTGATTTGTGCTTAGTCTATATAGCACAATTTCCAGAAAGTTCTCTTGCACGCTCCACCTATGCAATGCCCTCAATGTTGCTCTGTTTCCCAGGCTCTTTGCTTCCAGGCAAGCATTCAGGTGATCCCTAGGGCTTCTGCCGCTACCTGAGTTGCGCAAGTGTACTGGTAGCAGCTTGTTTGGCCTAGGTTCCTGCGTCGATCCGCTGACCACAGATGTTCGCACTGGTTTCGTTAGTCAGACCCCGCACCTCCACATGAGCAGGCTGATCACGTGTCACGATGGGGAGCCTGCAATGAACGCATCGGCGAGCCATGTCTTTGAGAACTGAATCCTGCTGAACACCGGAGGCACCCGGAGCAAGCGCCTCTTCTCCCGGCTTGCTGGTGGGCTCGAGCTGCTGGAGTCAGAATGCCTCCTCTCCAGAGTCATGCCGATAACACAGAGCAAGCAATGTCTGGCATGGCACAGAGCAGGCAGGGTCGCAGCTGCCCTACGTAAGAAATGCGCAGCCGGGGTGGGTTTTTGCAACAGATCTGCTTGTAGTAACTGTAGTAACAGCTGGGCAGCCCATCAAGAAGCACGAAAGATGCGTTGTCCTGCCTGTGGACAAACGCTTTGTCGTATACTCGTTCGTCTTATTTTTATCATATTGTATATAATATAGTATTATATTATATATATATGTATATACAGATTTGATTTCGCAGCCGACGACAGTGCAGGATCTTCATTGCTCCGACACATGAAAGTGGCACGTCTTCTCAATATGGGAGGAGGATGAGGGCCATGTAAAAACCAAAGGACGCAGCAAGACTCGAACAAACACCATGAAGAGAGACTTCCCCCTGTTTCTTGGCAGGGAATGAGGGAATTAGGGCACTACATCTACACTTTAAGGGGGTTATACAGAGCACCTCATTCCCTCGCCGGAAGACTTTCTGCACAGAACGCGCTTCCGTGCTCTCCTGAGAGGTCCCTATGGATATCTATCATCGGCGAGCCGACAGCTTGCCAAGAAAGCTTGCTTTGCAAACTCCAATCCCCAATATTCGACGACAGCTGCAAGTGGATGCAGTAACTCACGAAGAGCTCGCGCAACTCTGATGAAAATGCACCGGCGAACAGAGAAAAAGCCTCCCCACTGAGAGCCACTCCACACAGTCCCTTCGTGCAGCCAATGCATCTGCAGATCCCCCTGAATTTCGCTGACTCTGCCAGCAAGGAAGGAGAGGAGGGCCCCCCAAGAGCTGCCAAGAGGTTAGCTGTCCTTTGCACTGCAGCAATGCTTTCCACACAGCACTGCCCTCCCCTCCACTAGATCATATGAGCCCAGGGGGCCATACGTAAGCACCCCAGTATCAGGTCAAGGCTGCCGCTCTGAGGCGAGTCTCATGCCTTCGAGCTGCAAGCTGCAGAAGAAGGTTCATCTTCCGGACTGAGGAATTCTGGTGCACTGGGACTTGTGGCAGACCGGGAAGGGGAAGGTTGGGCTGGCACGTGGGTTGCTTTGGTGCCTTGGCCTGCAGCGTGTCCCCGATTGTGATGTTCACCTAGCAGGCATGACTCTCTGTGACTCTCTTTGGGGCCAAAATATTGCCACAGACATGGCTACGAATGCTGTATATGTGTTGATTCACGCACCCCGCAACATGATCGTACGCCCCTGCAAATGGAGGCGAATTCAGGGCTGACATTAAACTCTCGAGGCTCCGAAAGCTCCGAGGCCTCCAGCGGAACTTGGAATTCATAGCCTGGATTGATCTCCTCGACCGCAACACGGGACAGGAGCAGGTGCACTTGATGACGTATGATGACGTCCTGTTCACTCTGTTGATACTCGCCTTTTGGGACAACGACCTGCAAGCCGAAAGTTCCTGCAAGCAGTTGATTGCCCTACCCTTCAGCCGTCCTTGAATGGCGCCATCATGGTTTCCCTCAAGATTTCAGCGGCCTTGAAGCAGGCGACGCGACGCAGATTTCGCAAGCCGTTTCCAACAGTAAGGTCACGAGAGCGAGGAACGTATTGGCTCATGATGTGACAATTTCATTTGAATGCTCCGACTTGCTGCTCTTGGAGTTACTTGAGCATCCCTGCACAGGAAAGGGCACAGAGGAACAAGAGGTTCCAAACTTCAGCCCCTCCCCCTGCGTAGTCTCGAAGTCACCAGCTCCTGGAGCCTTGTAACGTTTGAGGCTCAGGTCCTTCCAAAGAAGCTTGTCAAACCCTAAACCCTAAACCCTTTTTGCAACTGGACTCCTTGCTGCCACAACCCTTTGCATCCAGGTCTCACGCCGGGCATCACCAGATTTACTGAAGAGGCGAAACTCGCGTTCACCCCCTAAAGAATGGATTGAATACATTCAATTTGAACCCCAAACACCCTAAACCCTAAACCCTACATCAAGCTCCCTGGCCTTTTCGGCATGTTCCTCAGGCCCCTCCAGGATGAGCTCGTCGTGCACCTGCACAGATTTCCTCACCCGACACGTGCCCTGGTGCATCATGGTGTGTGAGGTTGTTCCGCCTTATACTTACAATAGCCCCTAATGGGGGGATTATGATAGGGGGTACCAGAATCCCGATTAAGGGCGTGAGCTTGGCCTGCATAATCAGGTGGAAGCCCATCTCCTTGAGAGCTTGGCTGTGCTCCAGCTGGATCATGGCGGCCTTCACAGCATCTGCACTGAGGACAGAGCTGTGGTCCCCGAGAACACAACACGATGTGTGCCCTTCGTTCAAAGGTGCGTTTATGCTGCAGGGTTTGGGAGTTTAGGGTTGGAGAGATGGACTTGGAAGAGTTGTCCAAGGCCATGGTCCAACGCTATCCATGCCTAGGCTGTCATCCATACTGTCCCGGCCGTAACGATGTCGGCAGATGAGCCCTGGATGGCAAAGTTCACTGCCGCCCGCACCGATCCTGTGCAAAGCATGGGAAACTTCACCGGAGAGCTTTCATACAAGGGTTGCTGTGCAAACTGGCGCTGCAACTTCTCAACTTGATCAACGCTGAATTGGAGTCGTCCATTGCAGTTCAACGCCAAGTCCCTGGCTTTGCCGGTGAAAATGCGACGCTTGATCATCCAGCAGAGGCCTCGGAGTTCGGGAGGTGCACCATGGCTCCGCACAGTCATAGACAGACTTCACGGGGCAACAGTACTCTGCGTGCAGCAAAACTAAGGGAGCGGCAGGTGCCGTTCTCTGCCTAGCAAAGACAAGGAGACCTGCTCCTGCTGCGCATGGTCTTCCACGCGGCGTTTCCAACTGACAGGTCGACATTGGGACATGAAGCTTGTGGAAATTCTTTCTTCAGCAAGAAGACTGGCGCGTGATTTGAAGTAATCCTAGATCTCAGTACGTTCATATTCAGGTTTTGCGCACGCATTTCTGGATCACCTGCCATGCAGTAATTAGGCCCCAGAAGTAGACACATGCCGTTTCGTCATGCAATGTGCCGCGCACTCAGCAGTGCGACCCACGCCCCACCCCTTCCCTTCTCGGCCTCTGAACAGCCGGTTTGCTGTGAAACCAGGCCTCCCGTACTCGGAATGAAAATCGAAAAGGACGAAGCGTCTCAAAGCCTTCCTGCAGGTTTTAGATACAACTTGCCTGCATCACGCTTGCTGCCTCTTCAAGCGAAATGTCCAAGTCCTGCCATACGACCCATGTCATCCCATGTCGCATCGCAGTCACATAATCACTTCGAACTTCCAGCTCCTCTGCAAACGTTGATTCTGACATGCCGTAAATGACACCTGGGTTTGATGACGCGAGAGAACTGAGCTGAGAGAGAACTCCTCTTCTCAACCCCTGCATTGAATGCCAGGAAGGCAGTGAGGGCATGCCAGAACACCCTCAAAGATGCCACGAACATGCCCAGTGCAGCCATAACAGTCTTCACACTTCACTACAGCTGACCAGCTGACTCTACAGCCCATGCTGGACAGGGCCGCGGCCAAAGTTTACAGCCTTGGCTCTGCGCCTCTCCTCTGGGAAAACCGACCTGAGAAGCTGCAAGAAGGGTGCTGCAAGCAGGCATAAGCGGAGGCTCGGGGAGGCTTTTTGAAAAGAGAAAAAAAACAGTCTGCGTCACATCTCTTCGAGAGAAGCGAAAGACGGAGAACGCGCAAGGGAAGACAAGGAAGCCAGGGAGAGCGGGTTTCCTAGAGGAATCATGATTCAAGTGCCCCATTCGTTGAGCAACTTCTTGAGGCATCGCACTCCCCGAAAGCCCCCGAATATGCACGAAGAAGCTCACGTAGGTACCATTCACACCTTGCCCGCCAAGAGTTTGACAGGTACTACCGTGGAACGTAAGAACACAAAGGTACCTCACACAAACTTCGTAAGCGCTGACAATTATAAAACTCAAAGACCCCGAGACGCCCAGAAGAGCTTCCAGGACCAGTGACAACCTTCAGGCACCCTTTTGCAAAGCCCACGTCCCCAGCAACTGCAGTGCCCAACCTCCGTCCCCTCTATAGCCCTCCCGCGTCCCACTGGTAGAAATGTCGCAGGCGAGGCGTGTGGCTTGGATGAGAGAGGACGCACAGCATGCTTTTTCTTTTGCGTCTCTGCAGCTCTCTCGCAACATTTCGCTGGAGCTGCTGGCTTGCATAGTCAATTTTCGAAATTGTGCATCGACATGTACCGAACACAGTTGTGTACGAGCAGCATCAACCGCAACCAATAAAAGCAACCAGAAAAACCACTAAGTAACTCAATCTTTACACTAAGACGAGTGTGATGAGTTGTGGCACTGTTGTAGTGTCTGGGTGGACATCCCATGGTCCTGGGAGGACTCCCGGCGACTCATCCGCTGAACCCAGAAGCATTTCTCGCCTTCCCCACGTTTGTGGGCTTGCGGATGCTTGCGGGTTTTCCAGCTCCACCGGCCACAAGAGCAACACTGTGGCAGCACACGCCCTCCTTGCACAGCTCGATACTTGAAAAACGCGCTGGATTTTTTGGTTCTCATCATGTCTCATCATTCTAGCCCCGTTCTTGACCGAATAACATGCTGCCCAAGAGACAGAATCTCAGAAGACTCCGACAGTGAAACTTTGGAGCAATGCTGAACTGCGGCCGCACTCTTCCGGCACCCAATTGCATCAACCGAGGAGCACGTCTACACACTCTGCAGGGCCTGTTAAAGCTACGCTAGCTGGGCTCTCGAACTGGAAGATGCAGCAAAAAAGGTGAATAACAACTCGGCACACACCTTGCTTGGGTAGCCGGTCGCCTTCACCACCCAGTCAGCAAACTCATGAGTGAGCTCTTCTAGACGAGACAAGTTCCAGGTGGAGTTAGATCGTCACTGCATTGCATGCCCACCCGACTGGATTGAATATAGGCACCTACCCGCGCACACTCCACGTGACATGGGACTTAGAGTTGTAGTGTGAGGCAACAGGTAA